TTTGTGTGGACCACAGTTGAGAACCACTGGTTTGTAATGTTAAGCTTAATCTGCCACAAGGCTAGGACTGTAGGGCACTTGACTTGGATCAAATTCACTGCATAATAACATTGATCTGTTATACTAGTTTATTAGTCAATACTACTTAATGATTACCAATATGGATCAATTTACACTTGTCTACAGATTTTAAAGATTAAAAAATAAAAAAAATAAGAAAACTAGGGTTAAGTTTTGATTAAAGTTAAACCAGGAAGCTGACTTCAAGCAATAATTTCTTCTACTTGGATTCCCTTAATAAATAATTCTTGGAGATATATGGGAAATGTTCTTCTTGAATGACACTAGGTAAAAGAAAAAAAAAGCAATTTAAAAAGACCCTTACTGACCAAATTTTGGAGCTATAAACAGTAAAATACCACCAATTATCTAATGTTAAGAGCTTTTGTCATATTCCAAAAAGGAATTTGTAAAAAAAATTCTCTTGAAAAATCAGCAAGAAATAATGATGACGATGTTCTTTTATATACAAATGTGTTTATAGAATGTTACTTTTTGGTCTTTTAAAAAATACATATGGAGTTAATCATTTTTTTTTATTATGTTCCTCCTATTAAAAATAATGACTTACAATCATACAAACAAAATATTCTAAAACCCTTTTCAATTAAACATTTTAGCAAAGCTCAACAGGTTTTCTATTGAGAAAGTTTTTTTTTTACCATACTTCATACTGCAAGTTATCCTCATTTAAAATTTAACAGTATAATGTATAGTCTTAAAGTTTAAAAAATATATGTATGAAGTAGAGAGTCAATTTCTTTTATTTTTTTTAAGAATCTTTAACATTTTGTCCATCCTAAAGTAAAGTAAACACAATTCAATCAGTGATGTATATAGGTTCATTTAGAGTCATTTCCTAATTGTTTTTATCACAACCTTTTAGCCAATGTATTTTCCAGCATTCCTCTGGTGACTGTTGTATTTTGTGATGTTAAAATTTTGTTTGTACTTCTATTTTTATATCTTTTATATCTTTTATATCTTTTATATCTTTTTATACAAGTCCTATTATATATTGCTTCTTTTGAGCTTTTGAAACTGTTCTTTCCTGACCCATGCATAACTTTCCCCAGAGACTGTGGGTGATTTTATACAAGTCCTATTATATATTGCTTCTTTTGAGCTTTTGAAACTGTTCTTTCCTGACCCATGCATAACTTTCCCCAGAGACTGTGGGTGATTTTATACAAGTCCTATTATATATTGCTTCTTTTGAGCTTTTGAAACTGTTCTTTCCTGACCCATGCATAACTTTCCCCAGAGACTGTGGGTGATTTTCGCTAGCATTAACATTTTTGGTGTTATTGTCCAAAGCACATTTAATTATGTGTTTTAAATCTCAAGTTTATGATTTGTGATCAGTGACCCTCATATACATTTAGTATTTATCCCTTGCCTTTTGATCAGATATCTTGAGCATAGCATAGGTGCTGGGTCCTTCAACTATCTTATTCTTCATGGTTGTGAATTTGTTTCACACATTATCAGCTATGTTTGATTTTAAAGTTTCTCTGTAGAGTACGGATTTCTGATGTTCCTCAAGTCTTATTTTCAAGAGGCAGCTATTTTTGCTTTTGTATTCTTTGCTACAACTACATAGAATGTTTTATATACAGTTCTTGAACATACAGAACATGTAAATTATATGAATTTGAATACTGTCTTGTACAGACTGAATATTCTTTACTATACATGTTGAAATGACTGTAGCTAGTTTTTCTTAAACTGTGTGCTGGGTGTTGTTGACCAACATCTGCAGGTACAACATTCCTTGCAGTTGTGGTAAGGAGTACAAAGATAAAACCAGTCACTCCTTACCCAAATTAAAGACTAGCAAATCAACTCTGTAGAGAAAATTCAAAATGAGATATAGTTAAGCATATGTGAAAGAAGGTGGTGGGCCCAAGAACAGACCATGAATTTGAGATGAAAAAGAAAATGTTTTCTTTGGAATATAACTCCAAATTTGAGAGTGATTGTGAAATTTGCTTAATTTCTTGGGAGGTCATCAATTTAATGTATCAAGAAAGGACAGTTCCAAGAAGCACTGGATGTTATGTACATGGGGATGGAAGCATATTCTCCTTAAGACCTTTATTTAACATTACAAAATACAAGAAATAGCACAGAAGACAGCTGAAAAATAGATCAGCAAAGGATTGTGATAAAAATAACAATGATAATGAAATTAATTTAAATGAACTGAAACACTATGATTAAAACATGCCTTAAAATAAGAACACAAAATTTTTTTTTTAAATCCAAACAAAAGTCTTATCACCAATTTCATTGTTTACAAAAGCTAATTTTTTTCTTTCTCATTAGTAAAATTTAAATGCTTTAAACTTCATTTTAGGATGTGCATCTTGGAAAACTTCTAAAAAAAACCCTCAAATCTCCCCATCTTCTCACAGAAGATTAATCACAGACAATGTTT